TTACATATGATCATCTAGAAGTAATGTAAATTGTAAAATGTTTGTTTCTCGTTAAGTATAAGAAAGGTCACATTGACCCCTAAATATGGGCGATTTGAAAAAATAAATCGTTCATCAAAACAAAGTTCTCTCTCTCTCCCCTCTCTGTTTTTCTCTCTCTCTTTCTTTCTTTTTCTTTAAGTTGCCTTCTTGTCACTCTTACCTATTCACTCTCTCTCTCTCCCTCTGCTTTTCTATCTTTTTTCTTTTAGTTGCCTTCTTGTCACTCTTTCCTATTTTCTTTCTCTCTCCTCTCTCTCTTTCTTAATTACTAGCATAAAGATGTTAATAAACATCTGACGGAAAATAATTAAAAGCAACATAAAATCTTGGAAACATTAATTAATATTACGTACGTATTATATGTTTTTGTATTCTCTAAATAACAACAAAAATTAAAAACTAATTAATAAATTAATTTAATGTCATAACTATCAAAAAGTCTTTTCAAAATTGTTTTATTTTTTTATCTTTTCTTTTGATTGTAGTCATTGTGTTTTTTTACATAATTAACTAAATATTGTCTTATAAATTTATAAATCAAACAATTTTTTTTTTCAAACAACCGACAAATAATTAATAAAAAATATATATAACTTTCTTCTGGTGTTCTATTCTCTCCATTACTTTCTCTTTCTTTCGTTTCTCTCTCTCTTTTTTATCTCTTTCTCTTTTTCAGTCTTTATCACTTTTATATATTCATTATGATACTAGCCTTTCTAACAAAAAAAAGTTTTTAAAACAATCTCTCTCTCTCTCTCTCTCTCTCTCTCTCTCTCTCTCTCTCTCTCTCTCTCTGTTTTTCTATCTCTTTTTCTTCCTTTTTGTTTTACTTGCCTTCTTGTCACTCTTACCTATTCGCTCTCTCTCTCTCTCTCTCTCTCTCTCTCTCTCTCTCTTCCCACCTTGTTCCTTTCCTCTTTTTGTTTTGCTGTTTCTTTCTTTTTATCTTCTATATATTCATTATCATACTGCCATTTCTTGAAAAAAGTTATTGAAACAATCTCTCTCTCTCTCTCTCTCTCTCTCTCTTTCTCTCTCTCTCTCTCTCTCTCTCTCTCTCTCTCTCTCTCTCTCTCTCTCTCTCTGCCTCTCTCTGCTATTACGTTGCGTTTCCTATATAACCATAATTCTAGCCTTTTATCGTATATTTGGCATAAAACTGTTAAAATGTTTAAATTGAATATGTTTCTTCACGGTTCACTTTATATTATATAGACTAATTTTGGAAAGCTGGAATGGAGTTGGCCTGTAAATATCCAGCAGCAATCTGATATGTCTGTAATTTTTGAGAAGCAGTGGTCGTTACATAACAAGCACACGGCAGTTAAATTCCAATTCCCACGCCATATTGTTTTATAATTCCCAATTATGATTTTTATTTTGTCTATTTGTTAATGATATGAACACATAGAAAAAAAAAGCATTTTCCGATGCAATCGATATTCTCCACAGACCCCGATGGCTAATATTTAAACTTCAATCCATTTCTCATTTTGTGGGCAGTTTTTCCCCATGGTATAATAATTACTCCGAATGAAATAATCGGCTCGTTGAAGTGGTTGGAAATTCAATTTTCGGTGGATTACGTTTTTCAACCACGTCTCTCGGCAGGAAGTCGTGCCGTGCCGGAGGATTCTGCAGGTCGTTACGTGGCTGTGTTTCCACACTTCGACAATTATATTGGACGGTCGTCTTCAAACGCGAAAACATTCGTCTAAAGTTTTATTTTGTATGTAAATTAAAAACAAAACGAAATTTCAATTGAAAACCTCCAAAAGAAAATGTACGTAGGTTTTCAATAATTACAAATCCGTGTTTACTTGACCTATATACGTCTGGTTTAGATTACACATAAAAACAACATAAATTTTATGTGGTTGTGTAATGCTTTTCACATTAACTGACAAATAAAATGATCTCCATGCGCTTAAGGTTTCAAATGGTGTTAAACACGTGTTAGTTTATTTATAACAAAATCATCGATCGTCTGCTTTTGTCAAATTGCCACCCATAGATCATGTGAAGGCTAAACAAGCATCATAAACATCGAAAAGTTCGACGAGACGTGAAATATGTCTAAATCCTGTCGGTATGAAAATATCTGTTTTACAACTGAATTTTTACGCGTTTTATAATTTGCATCAGACAACTGAAAATGGTGTGGTCAATCTAGATATGAGGAATAATTTAATTCAGTATTTAAACTTGTGTTTATACTTGATAGTTTAAGACACAAATTCACATATCTGGATTAATGTAATTTATGGTTGATTTTTTATTTCTAGATTTTAATATAGGCTACAATTTGAGAGATTTGAATGATTTTTATGACAATCTTTCTAATAGAGGTTGACGTAAAATGTCTTTATGTCTTTTTACTATTGTACACAAATTAAAAGCAAGAACTATTAACTCATTAATGAAATTTTTGCTCGCAAACAACAAAACTCGGTGTATGTTTTAAATGTTTAACTACTTTTCTATACACAAATACGAACGAACGTACGGAGTGTACGAGAGACTAAAAGTGAGTGAAAGAAAAAGAATAAAATAAATAATAAAAGAAAGTGTAGTGAAAGAACTATACTTTTAAAAAGATAATGTTTAACAAAGCGAGCGCGAGAGATAGATAGAAAGAGAAAGAGAAAGAAAAAGAAAGATAGAGAAAGAGAAAGAGAGAGAGAGAGAGAGAATAGGAGAGTGTCAAGAAGGCAGCTAGAGGGAAAAAGAAAGAGAAAGAACAAGAAAACAAAAAATTTGAGTAATCAGAGAGAGATTGTTTGAAAACCTTTTTTTGGTTAGAAATATTAGTATTATAATGATTACTGGTATAAAAGAAAGAAACAGCGAAAGTGAAAAAGAGAGAGGGAGGTAGAGAGAGATAGAAAGAGTGAGAGAGAGAGAAAAAATAGGACAGTGACAAGAAGCAGCTGAAGAGAAAAGCTAGAAAAACAGGAGATTAGAGTAAACAGAGAGAGATTGTTTGAAAAACAATTTTTTGGATAGATATATTAGGATTATAATGAATACAGGTATAAAAGAAAGAAACAGCGAAAGTGAAAAAGAGAGAGGGAGAGAGAGAGAGAAAAGGAGAGTGACAAGTATGCAGCTTAAGAGAAAAGAAAGAAAAAGATCNGGAGGGAGGGAGGGAGAATTGAATTAAACGCCTTATTTACAATAAATACTCGCAGATTTCGGTCATATTGATATTTGTTACAATCAACTAGTTCGATTTTACAAAAATAAATAGATACAAAATAAGAAAACAATACAAAATGAGAGAGAGAGAGAGAGAGTGAGAGAGAGAGAGATAGAGAGAGATAGAGGGAGGGAGAATTGAATTAAACGCCTTATTTACAATAAATACTCGCAGATCTCGGACTAATTGATATTTGTTACAATCAACGAGTTCGATTTTACAAAAATAAATAGATACAAAATAAGAAAACAAAACAAAATGAGAGAGAGAGAGAGAGAGAGAGAGTGAGATAGATAGATAGAGAAAGAGGGAGGGAGAATTGAATTAAACGCCTTATTTACAATAAATACTCGCAGATCTCGGTCATATTGATATTTGTTACAATCAACGAGTTCGATTTTACAAAAATAAATNGAGAGAGAGAGAGAGAGAGAGAGAGAGAGAGAGGGAGAGAGATGGAGAGAGAATAAATAAGATTGACAAGAAGGAACGAGATATACAATGTGCCTTGATATAATACATATAGATAGAAGCTATAAAAGTTATAAAAGCTTTAAAGCTTGTTTCATGTTTACAGAAAGGATGGGAAGAGAAACATAAATATAATGCACACATAATGATACATTATAAATAAACAGTATTTCCCATTCCAATGGTGTCGCAACAATCGTATATGTATATTTTGACGAAAAAATTCATATTCTAAGATATTTGTACTTATATTATATTTGGTCGAATCAAGAGGAATAAAATTAAAAGAAGTCCGTAAGAAATCAGCCAGCATTGTTGAACCAGTACTGAAGCGAGATTTTCCAGTGATCATCATCGATTTCCGGACGCTCTTCTAAATTAGCAGTCATTAATGTTTTTATTTGCCCACAACTGACGGACGACGGACCATGCGGTCTGCTAATGCCGATAGCCGGCTTGACCCACTATTCGCAATTATGCCCGTTGACTAAACCGTATCGATACGAAATGAATCATAATTCAATCTGTACAAATACATCGTAACTAGGCAAACTAATTTTCTGGTCTTCCTGGTTTGTTCAGTCTCGCTTTTTTGTTTTGGCATTTGGTCATTTTGACAACGTGCACTATACTTCCTTCCATGATGAGCTAGGATGATCAACCAATAGAACTTTTGCAATTAGAAAGCAACGAGTGAATAGGTTTTTAGTTAAGCTTAAATTTTGTATTTATAAATTTTAAAAATCCAAAATTGTGTATATAGATGTAACCTAAAACAAAATATTTGCAGTCGGTCAGATAAAAAAACTGCGAGGCCGTAACAAACACCGGTACATTGTAACTGCAAATAGGAAATTATGCTCAGTTATGGAGTCTACAGAAAACATATTTTTTTTCTTATGTTTATGGCCTAAGAAAAACTCTGCGATACCGAACAACTCTTTGAGAATTGAGAAAATTTCAAATTTTCAGGATGAAGTGGTAGTAAATCTAAAACAGTCCTTTTTCCAAAGAGCCACACAAATATACAATTAAGTAGAACTAAATAAAATTGAATTTTTGAAAATAAGCAATAGCTAAATTTTTGATATCAGTATTAAAATCCTACTTATTCCAGGAAGATTTTTTTAAATTTTATTGCATTACTTAAGCCTTCCATTGTTTCTTGTTTTCAACTTATATATCGATTTTTTTAAAAACTAAATTAAAAAAGTTCCCACATATGATATAGTTATTGTTTAGTTTTTTGTCGTTGTGAGAATTCGGATGTGGAAAAATTTCCGCTCACCTGTATCAGTGTTTATCCGAGGTCTGTAGGGGTAACTGTGAGCTTCAGGAGGTTCTCCCTACCCGATTCTAAGTCTCCCACTTGGGCCGAATCGTCTGTGATTCTTCGGAAACGATCCCACTCCCCGTCATTTACCCTCGATCCTCTCCGTCTTAATGAGCATGGCCCGTTTTGCTATTGTAAATATATGTACATTCCTAATGAACGACCAGGTTTGCACAAGTAAAACATAAAAATTTCCTGTTTTTTTGGGTAATTTTTTTACACGAATTTATACCGATGGTTCAATCCTTTTATACTAAGTTTCGAGTCGCCAATTTACAACAACGACCCAGTCATAACTCATATTCAAAAATAAATAAAAGCTTTCTCCGTGTAATACTTGTTCCAGTTTAATCCACCTAATCTCGTTGGTCTTCTCCTGTCATAACTGATGATATAATCAATTGCTGAAGCCTGATTAAACAGCCTTTTATAAAAAAAGTTAATAGTGATATTTCAAATATATTCGATATTCCAAAACATGGTGAGAACAAGAGTTTTACTTAGTTAACTTATTAAATTAATTTTATTCACGTTTTAAAAATTAGAGGGAAAAGAGGAATTAGAACTTAGAAAATTAGGGGTGCAATCGTTGAATAATAAATCCTGCAAGGAGAAAGAGAGAAAGAGAGAGGCAGAGGAAAAGAGATATAGATAGATAGATAAATACACAGATAAAGATAGAGAGAGAATGAGAGGGAGAGGGAAATAGATAGATAGATACATAGATAGATACATAGATAGATAGATAGATAGATAGATAAATAAAGAGAGAGAGAGAGAAAAGAGAGAGAGAGAGAGATACAGAAAGACAGACAAGTGATAGACAGAAAGCAATTGTGCTATGGATGTATAGAAAGCGAAGAAGAAAAAAGAGGAAGGAGAGAGGGAGTGGAAAGATGAAAGAAGATAAAGAGAGAGAGAGTGTGTAAGAAAGTTTGAGAAAGATAAAGAATAGAAAATAGTTAAAAGAATAGAAAAGTCGATAGACAGAGAGAGAGACAGAGAGAGAGAGAGAGAGAGAGAGAGAGAGAGAGAGAATGAAAGAGAGATGGGCAAGAGAAGTAAATAGCATTTAAGAGATACATGTAAAAGATAGAGTGAAAGAGACGCAATGTGAGAGTTGTAGAACTATGAGGGAAAAGAAAGAGAGTGAGAGAGGTCGTGGATGCATAAGAAAAAGTATAAAATAGAAAGTGGATGAGAGAGAGAGAGAGAGAGAGAGAGAGAATAAGAGATGTCTTGGGTGAGTGAGTTAAAGTGAGAGAAAGACTGAGGTAAAGTAAAGCAAGGCTGAGCGTAATCCAAAGAAAGAAAATGAGAATGAGAATGAAAAAATAAGGTTATAATTTATAGTATAAAAATTATTTATTATTATAAAAAAGAAAGAAAGGAAAAGAGAAAAGGAGGTTATAGTTGCATATTTAAATACGTAAAAAGAATAAGAATCGCGAGAGAGAAAGATGAAATAGATAGAGCGATAATAGACAGATAGAAGGAGAGTGAGAAAGAGTAAATGTGAGAGAGAGGGAGTGAGAGAGGGAGGAAGAGAAAGGAGAGCAAGAGATGTCGTGGGTAAGTAAGTTATAGAGAGAGAAAGACTTAGGTGAAGTTAAGCAAGTGTGAGAGTAATGTAAAGAAAGAAAAAGAGAATGAGAGAGGAAGAGATGGATAGATAATAGAGAGAGATTAAAAAAAGAATGGGAGTGAGGGAGTTTGAGGAGAGAACGAGAGAGAAAGCAGAGTAAAAGTGGTTAAACAAATTACTGTAATTAAATTTACAATTCACAAAGAGGATAAAAAAGAGTGATAGGGAAATATGAGAGAGACAGAGAGAGAAAGATATGGAAATTAAAAGAGGAAGATGGAGAGATATGTGAAGAAAAAGGGAGGAAAAAAGGGAAAAGGAAAAAGAGTTAAAGATAATGAGAAAGAAACAAAAGGCTAAGAGAAGTAGATAGGGATAAGAAGTACACAGTTGTTTATAAAGTGAAAGAGTGCAACAGTAGAGAAATATATGAAATATCTGAAAACAACAGAAAAGGAAGCAGAGGGGTGAAAAAAGTGAAAATCAAAAAATGAGGGAAGGAGGAAATAAGAGTATTACACATTAAAAAAAGAACTGATTCTAAAATATACATAGCTGTATTTCCTTTTTGGAAGAAACTCTAGAACAAAATCCTCATTTATAAACAGATCATTAAACCGATCTAGATCAATGGTATTCAATTGTGAGCCTGTGCCAAAAAAAGGAACAACTCTGAAGTTGATGGCGCACCGAATGAAGACATTTATCGATACCTGAATACCGGACAGTTTTACTGAGGTTTTCTGACCAAAATCATCACGACACCCTGTGAGACGACTGAAGAGGACCAAGCCCTACGAACTTGATTCCTAGACATGAACTTTAAATAAGTACACCAGTGGTTGAACCTAAATTTTACTACTAGTAATTTTCTAGTTGTTTTAATAAATAAATCGATTAATTTCAAAAAATCGTTTTTGGTTTTTCCTATTTATGAATCATGCCTAAAATATTATAGATTTTACATTATCAGTTATTACTTCATCAGCTTTTTTGTAAGGTCTAAGTCCTGTGTTCTGGGGCCAGACAACAGACGATTTATTCCCTGTTCCTATTTTTCACGTGTACTAGTGACCTTATCTTGGGACAGGCTTTTTACTATCTATTTCCAACCTTTTAAATGTTTCGTTCAGATCATATTTTTTTAACTGAGGTTGATATTTTTCAATTCCTTTCAGAAATGATCCTGATGAAGCTACGGTTTTGAGTCATCCATATCTTCCGTGAATCATTTGACTCTTTTTCCTAATCCTCAGTCATTTTTACTACTCTTTCTAGTAGTAAGTAAAGTTAAACAACTTCCGAGGCCTCGGCTTAACGACCCACTACCCTTGGTGTCGCGGTAAGGTACTTTATAATACATTTTACATATTATTATCATTTAAAATTCCAAGGGCTGTGCCGGGATTCGAACCCAACTTCGTTATATTGTAGCAGGACCTGGAAATTTTTACTACCGAAGCTCTGATGCTTCCACCTGGCTGTTGCTACACAATGGCACGTGATGTCAAGCCCGACAAAATAGAGTATGGACAAGTCAAGTATTGCGGGTCAGAGAGGCGTTTGATGCTGCTTAAAACCCTTAATCTTTACAAAATATGGCACGACTAGACAAAAAATATCAGATAGAGAGGGGGAGAGAGAGAGAACGCAATCTGACAGGGAAATACAACATTTAGGCAAACCATAACAATCGAAAACCATCAAACCACGCCACCGCCTTTTTTGCTCTAAGATTCCTTAACATTGGGTCCAAATCCTGTCTGTACCATATATAAAGATATGGTTGACACATACATGTCTAGAATGTAAAGATGTTGCTCGATGTGTCCCACTTAATTGGCCATTCCTTGGCTCCATACAATGAGCGTGTAGGAATGCCAACCGATAGAATTCTACTTGAACGCGGCACTGAATATTTGTGTCCCTCGTTCCTATTTTTGGAGGAAACAGAACTGTTGGTAGATATCTTATTTTATGTTCCCTTTTGTTTATTCTGCTACTGAATGTATTTATTAGCGAGAATGTAGGGTATGAAAGGGTTTATCGGATACCGTTACTATACCACTGTACTTTACTGAAACGTGCGTAAATAGGGCGGAATGTAATAATGTGTGAGGGCTAGATTAAAAAAAATGCTAACATTGGGTCTGAAATAACTTAGTATTTTTAAATGATAGGGCCAAGGTTTGACCCTAAACTCAATTCTGTGCATATGTGTGCAGAGTTGGGCTTATATAAATCAATAAATCACTATAGGAAGACCTTGTGAATCCATTTTATATTATTTCTAGCTTTATATAGATGAAATAAAAACAATTTTTCTTTATATCTTTGGTTATGAAAACATCTTATATAATTTTTGTAGGTACATGCATTTTGAATAGGCGTTGGGATATAATTATAAGATGGCTCCTGAAGATGTAAGACTTTTCAATTTTTATAAATTGACCGTAGTGAATTGTTAGGGGAAAAAAACGACCAAAAACATGACAAATTATTCATACTAATTGTGGAGAAGAGATGAGGCGATAACATTCCTCTAAACAACCCCGTATTTGTTGAACTTAACTGAACTTAACTACGAAGATAATGACATGGAATTAACCGTCGTAATTACAAAACGAAGACCATTTGTACGTCGAAAAAGGACATCACGGACGAATAAAACCGAAAGTTGACCCACTACGCCTTCACGACGTGTTCCATCGCCCGTGAATTTAATAAGGGGGGGCCACCTGTTTTCATTTGCCCACCACGGTCGATGAGACGACACGACGATGAGGCAATTATCGGTTATGAGAGATTTTGTCAAACGTTTTCTAATTGGAGTTTTGGTAGTTTATAGACGAGTAGGCGATGAACGTTCCTAGCAACAGAACAATTCATAAAAGTGCATTTTTCCCATACCTTGAACCTCTTTCCTACCTTAAATTACAAAACACAGTTAGCAATACTATTTCTTAAGTTGATTGGTAATAGAAATTATCTATAAAATCAAAACTTAACTATAATTTCCCACAAGACATACAATTTCTTCAACTAATATTGCATTTTATTCAAAATCTGGGATAAAAATTTTTAAAACAACCAAATTGTTTATGGTTAATGATGTCCCAATTTCCTCGATGGGTGTATTTAATCTGTCAATTAGCACTAAATTGAAAAGTAATTAACGCTTTCCTTTTCAGGAAGTAGATATTAATAAAATGACCTCCGTCCAATCCAATCATTCATTCTTTCTAAATCCGTGTGGTTAATGGTTCATTTAGCTTTCCCCGTAATCGTTGCCTAACTGTATTGTCAGACGGAATCTACTTTTCATCCTGCGTCAATAATCATCAATAAAATGATTGTTATCTTGGCGCTTTCTATGTAAATATGAAACTGAGAAGGCTCTTCAATTTTTTGACCCGGGTACAAGCCCGATATCCATCAGTCAATATCAAAACTGTTATGTCGGTCAAGTTTCTGTAGTTAACAAAA